GCAGTTACCTCCTCCTCCCTCCTCTGTACCATCCACAGAGGCTCCACCACCCCTTCTTAACCCACAGCCCAGCTCCCACCACCCCTCAGCGCCTCCTCCTGTCCTCTCACACAATGTTGCACACCCCAACAACACTGTACCCCACTTCTCAGCCCCTGCCCCCCGAGTCTCCCATCGTATGCAGCCACCAGGGCCTTACTACTCCCTTCCTGAGCAGCAGCAGCAGCAACAAACGCAACAGCAGCAACAGTCTGTGTTTGTGCCCTTCAACGCTCAGCAAGAACCTCCGAAACAGTCCCAAAACCAGACGTCCCAGCCGACAAATTTGCCTCCACAAGCCCAGACCCAAGCTCAAGCCCAGGCTCCAGGCTCCCTTCAGGTCTCTGCTAACCTGGGAATGATGAACGGTTCCCAGATGCAGCATGTGGCCAACACAGGCAAGCCACAGCAGATACCCCCGAACTTCGGCCCCGCAGGCCTCTTCAACTTCAGCAGCATCTTTGATAACAATAGCCAGGTGAGCTGGAGTAATATTTTATTTCAGCTGTTCACATGTAGTAATTTTGACTGACAAAGACGGTGTTCAAATAGCTAAATAACTTAGCTTAAATATCATCACCCATACTCAGTAATTACAACATTATTAATTGTTGCAGGTTGGAAACAATCAGGTGTGGGGTGCATGCCATCTCCCGGCTCGATCACCTCCAGAGCAGTCGTACTCAGCCCCACCAGCCTACATGAGCATGGGCCAGATGGAGAACATGATGCCACCACCTCCTCCAGACAGCTCCAAAGCGCCTGGCTACCGCTCTGCCTCACAGAGAATGGTCAACAGCCCCATCGGTATGACTGTCATCATCACAGTGTGCACGTGATCATTGTGTTGATGTTTATTTAAACAGGCTAAATTCAGTAATTAAATCCCTTTAAGATTAAGAATTAGTTTTTAAGAGGAACCTAATTTAAATAACTGCATCAAAGTGGGGGGTAGTAACTACATGTGCTAACAAATAGAATAAAAAAAATCATACACACATCAGAAAAGTTAGTATAGTTAACGTGTCTTAACAAAAGGCCTCGTACTTTTTAGAGAGGTGAAGTTTTGAGGTACATTCTGCTGTCTCCTGTGCTCAATAATGAGCTTTCTCTTTAATTGTGTGCGCCCACAGCGTTGACCAGCTATGCCACCAGTATCTCTGGCAGCCCTGTGTATCTGCACGGTCACGGCACACCCTCATTCAGCAGACAGCACTTTTCCCCTCACCCTTGGAGTGCTTCCACATCAGGTACTAGGCTCACACTCAAACCTTTCAGCCTTTATTATCTATTTGGACTTCTAAAAAAAGTAGTTTGGCAACCCTTTTTAAATTCATGAGTAGTATTTTTACTGGCTTCTTTCTCTTCTACTTTCAAATACTTTCAGATGTTTAAACGTGATCTGCTTCTAACTACTTCTTCCTGCACTGTCTCTCCTCCTCCACCAGGTGAATCTCCTGTCCCGCCTCCCTCTACGGTGTCATCCTCCGCCCTCTCCACCTCAGCCGTGCCCCCTCCTCCCCAGCCTAAGCAGGGCAGCTCCTCGCAGCAGGACCGGAAGGTTCCCCCACCCATTGGCACAGAGCGGCTGGCCAGGATCAGGCAGACGGGTTCCGTCAACCCGCCTCTCCTCACCACCAGCTACACGGCATCTGTGGGACAGGGAGGCATTTGGTCATTCGGGGTCGGCAGTGCTTCGGGTAAGAGCGAATGCGAATTTTGTTGTGGTATTTTGTCTTCCTTTTTTGTTTGTTAGAATTAAGTTACAGGTGAAAATGGAAAAATAGTTTCAGAAGTGTGACTTAAACACAACCACATATTTTAATTATTTAAGTGAGTAAAGTGTTTTGCTCGCTGCTTTTACATTGCAGGGCACTTCATGTTTTTCTGCTCTATGCATGGAGTTTTTTTACCCATTGTCTGATTGGATGAATTAAGAGGTGGGCCCTCTGTGGTTGCGATGACAACAAGTGGTAGCATACAGTTCATGGTTTGTAGTAGGCTAACAATAGCTCACTTTCAACATGGCCTCAGGCAAGCTGGAAGACATGTCTGAACAAATTGTAGCCTGAACTTCTTTCTGACATTATACCAACCGTAATTAGGCCCAGTGATTGACAGCAGATTATCAAACTGTCCCAGACGCATCCTAAAATAAGTACCACCAGCTGGTCCACAAGACTCCCTGTGATTTATCCGCTTTGTGAGGATCTCTGTCTTTGTTTCCTTGTGTCCAATGCATGATTTGGGAACAGCCAGAGCAAGTGCCCTCCACCAGTCTATTTTTATGCAGCTTTTAAAGTTTTGTAGGCTGCAACACATAGTGTCTAATGGAGGCCTTACTGTGCAGTACTAACTGATATCCTTTAATGATGTTAACCCTTTCTGTGTCTTGATGCAGAGGCCATGTCCGGTTGGTCCCAGCCCCTGATGAGCAGCCACATGATGCACCCTCAGCTGCAGGCGGAGCAGTCGGCCTTCTCTCAGCACCAGCCCATGGAGCAGGATGACACAGGCATTGCAAACCCTGCTAACAACTACCACCAGCCTCAGCATTTGCCCAACAGTTACATGGACTTCCCAAAGGTAACACAAAGCCATCGCTCTGCAGATGATTTTAACCCCTGTTCCTCTCATGAACACATGTTTTATTAATCATATGTTATTGTCTGCTAAGGGGATGCCTATGTCAATGTATGGAGGAACCATGCTGCCCCCTCATCCTCCCATGGCAGAGGGGCCGGGGGGACCGATGTACAATGGATTGCACGCTGGTGACCCCGCATGGAGCCCCATTATCAAAGTGGTCCCAAACAATGCAGATAACTCTGACCCACAGCAGCAGGTATGTTCTCTTTTATTGTAGCCATGCTGTCTCATCACATGCTTGGAGTTAAACAGTCAGGCTTGCATTACTGCCATTAATCAGATATAACATTTGGCTACAGTTGTTCTAACACGTACCTTTTATTGGTCCCCTCTTCCCGCAGGTGTGGCCCGGTACCTGGGCACCTCATGTGGGCAATGTGCACCTGAACCACGTCAACTAGACAGCGTCCACAGCAATCAAACGCACACAGCATGACCCACAGCGCAAACATGAAAAACCAACTGACGAATATGACCGAATAAGACAACGAAAAAAAGAAAAACGTACAACATGTTAACTTTAGTAGAGACCTGAGAGTGCAGAGCAGAGGTTAAAGAATTGGAAGTTCTCTCGACGCCATTCTTTGATGTGCCTATCTCAAACAAATAAAGAGGATAATTGGGCGAGAGCTGTTATCAGTGTCCCAATGATGCAAACAAACATGCGCGATCACCTGTTCAACAGGATCCATTCTCTGCGTAGTTTAGCGATTTTGACTTAAACCCACATACACCGTTCTTGGGCTGCAGGGGGCTCAACATGAAGTAGCTATTTAAACTTGGCCCAGAACTAGATGATGATTACCTAAAGAGAAAGAGAAATCAGAACCTTTTAGAGTGGTAAATACATGTATAATTGTTTACATACTAAAAAGGGTTAAAATGAGAGTAAATTTCATGTCGTATAGTGGCTCTACTTTATGTAGCCTGTATTAATGTGAAATATTTACCTTAATATTCAATAAAAAGATTGAAAAGTATGTGTGCTGTTTTGTGATCTCTACTGTTCTTTCATGTTTTGACTCTTAACATCAAGACTTGGTACACGTTTCATCTAATGAGATAGTCAGTTTTGGCTCCTTTTTGGGCATCCTTTTCACAGTCCACTTCACAGCTGGAGTCTTTGTGCAGTCTGGAGATTGATCTTTATGGTTGCAAATTGGCCTTGAAGATCAGTCAGATTTCTCTTTGATAACTATGTATTTCACTGAGATATGTAAGTTTAGTTTTTTTTATTTTTTTTTAGCTGAGAATAGAGACATCTAGATGGGCTTCACTTCAATAATTTCTAACTCCAATATCATACCTTGAAAAATATCCATATTTAAGAAATTTTCAATACCACGACGACTTCTCTTTTCTTGGTTATTAGCACAGAATAGCAGAAAGGGAGAGAGAAAGAGAGAGCGAGTGTATCAATACAACAGAAAATGAGTATTAAAACTTTAAAATATTCAGAATTTATATTTTTGACACTACTTCACTGTCATGACCAGTGACACTCAAACATGATGCATGCTTTGCTGGAGTTTGACCTTGGACTACATGGGGAAACTTGCAGGGGTATTGAAGAAATAAATTGGAGGCATAACTACCTGTTTCCAACCCCAAAATACAACATCATTACTACTTACTTCAGACCTTTATGGTATCTGAGATTAGGTGATGTTGGAACACTGAACTGTACCCATTATACTGCCACTCAGTGGTAAGAGTGGGGGTCCTAAAAAAGAGACTGGCAAACATTTTTACCAGTTATACTATTACAGTACTAGTAGTAATTTTGCTATCAATAGCAAAGTCATGATCAAACAAAATGTGGCCCTATCTCACCATAGATTGCAGTTTCTTACAATGGTTAATTCATTGCCACATATTTTTAATTTGTATAGTTGCATTAAGCTTACCTGAGCCTGTAGGCCCCAGTTTACACTTCAATATGTCACTACCTCCTTAACTGACAAATGCCAAATGGTTAGTTGATAGTAGGGCTGTGTAATATATTGAATTTAGTTAGCAGCAGCAGTTGCTATAAATAAATCATGTTTAAAACCATATTAAAGTTTTTACATTTTGAAATTGTTATACCCTAAAGCAAGTTAATGAGTGTTGACCCATATTTTTTATGTAAAGGGAGGTGCACTTTATTACACACTGAAATTTAACACAAATTTAGTTGTGCAATGTGTGCACAATGTATGTAGAGCAGGCAGCAGACACCAGGAGGAGGCACTGACACACCTTCCTCTGACGTTTGAAACATCTGAGCTTTTATTGTGAAATCCAGGGTCAAAGTGTAACCGGAAGTGTAGTTCTTCAGCTGGTTGCGGGGTTTGTGTAAAGTAGGCATGGCGGCAAGTACAGCACCAGTGGTCCCAGACCAGACGCCTAAATCATCGCCGCCAGCAGCTTTGCCGTTTGACTTATCTCAGCCTCCTGTTATCGAAGGCTTCAACCCTCTGCCGAAAGCCAAAGATGAGACGTTCAAAGAGAAGTTCATGAGGAAAACAAAGGAGAACCCGTTTGTCCCAATAGGTGAGTTATACAAGAGTGGCAACACAGCTGAGGGGAGTTACACAAGTGCTGCTCCGAGTCGGTACAACTCGTCCTTTATTTAAAAAAGGTGGTCAAATTATATTTTCGGAGGCATTTACATTTCAACGTAACGGAGCCGACTGTAGCATGCTAGCAAGTAGTAACTGCGTATGCTAACGTCAGAGGAAAAGTAGCTAACTTGTTGTATGTGTCGGTTTGCGTTTGTCATCAGCGTCACCAAAAACACCTTGTTGTCACCTGAGTGTCGTCAATGCATGACTTTGACAACAATTGCCAACAACTGTCAAACTTATTTTTGTGTAGTTTGACCTTACTTTATTTTGAAAAACGTATTGAAGCTGTGTTGCCCTTGGTGCAATGCTCTCAAGGTTCTATCGATTCAGATAACTCGAATAAAACACATAAATAAAAATCTCACTCTTGGTAGTTTGTACTTGTGCATTGTTGGTTTCACGGTATTAGATATAACATTATCCATCTCTGACATTTGTGCTGCAACCCTTTATATACACACATAGTGGTAAAAGTCCTCCTTTTGTGATGTAAAATTTGAGGTCGATGAATTTCTAATTGGTCTAACAACCCGAACTGCATGACAATATGAACACTACAAGAGGTTGAGATTGAGAACGTTTCCCCCCCCCTCTGATTTGGGTGAACTTACCCTTTAATATTGTGCTTTGACTGCTGTGAGTGCCCCAGTGTCTTCATGGTATCCTCCATCTTAATACTGTAATACTTCAGTTAGTAGCCCAGGCTATTATTTGCCTAAATCACTGAACTCAACAGACTTATATTAGGGACAGGTGTCTATATGGGACAGGCCTTTAATTTCTTTCACACAAAAGTCTTGCTCAGCAAAGATGAGAAACACAATCAAATTGTTTATTTGGACCAGTATGAATATTACTTGTATAGAAATTAGGCTTCGAATACCATCAGTTATGTGTTATGCTATGACACTTGTTTCTCTGCACTCAAGGATAATGGCACCTGGCACACCGACGCAACACCACTTTGTCCTAACTTTGATTATTTTTAATAAAAACACTTAAGATTATTTTTATTGGTGGACCCTTGTGGGTTTAAGGATATAAATACTTACCGGGTAATCGAAGAATGACTAATATGACTTTATGACGGCTTCAGAAGAAGAGAGTCACCACTTGTGTTTTTGGTCATGCTGGTAAACCTGAATGACTTACAGTCTTCTCTGGTGCTCATGGTTTCAATAAAATTAACCTAGGTAACAATGTGTAGCATCTCCATAATGACATGGTTTAAACATGTATTATTTGTATGTGCTATCTAAACAGCCAGCTAATGTTATCTCAGGTGGGTAGGGAACAATCCAGTTTTGTACGTCAAAGAACATCTATAAAATTTTAGTGCTTGGCAACCAGACCAGGCATCTAATTGAGACAGGCCTTTATTTGTCAAAATGTGAAGCTACACCAGGCTAGTAAAAGAGAGTGGGTGTTTAATTGGGACTAGGCTTTTAATTGAGGTTTTTCTGTACTTATTTGTCTATCAAAGGAGTATTGAGAGTGTCTATGACATCAAATATAACATCTGTTCATCACTTCTACATTGCTTTCCTGGTCAAAGTCAGCATGTCCAGCACTTGGGTGTTATTCTGTCAGACAGTCTACAAGTTGTATTAATAATTTCCCTTGTGTTCTCCAGGTTGTTTGGGAACAGCAGGAGCGCTGATGTATGGTCTCCGTGCCTTCCATCAAGGGAAAACCAGACAGTCACAGCTGCTGATGAGGGGGCGTATCTTTGCTCAAGGCTTCACTGTAGTTGCCATTATTGTTGGCGTCTTCACCACAGCTGTGAGACCCAAGCAGTGAAAAGGGACCAACCCCACACCTCAACCGCCGCCCATTCAACTTGGAATCAGACCAGATCCAACTTGGACTTGGACTGATTGTTATCTGAATGAAATGAATAATGTGTTATGTTTCTAGCATTGTTCAGATACCTTTGTTAATGCCAACGCTATTTATTGTTTGAATATGTGAACTGCTCATGGTTGTTAAATATTTAGCTTCAGAGTAGCACTATGGAACAACTAAGTATAATCAGCTCCTTACCAGCCTGGGTAAGCAAGCTGGATTTCACTTTTAATGTGCTAAAATGGCACTGAAGTAAAATGCTGATAAATATAAAGTGTATGCTCTTCAGGAAGGTCAGATTTCGAATGTTCCCATGTGTCGTCACTGAAATGATAAATGCATCACCTGACTGGTTATAAACTTTAATTTGAAGCTGATGTCTCGTCTGTACTGTGATAAAGCATCACACCCACAACTGTGTTCAGGGGACATCTACTCCTCCTTATCCAACCTTTATTTAACAGGTTATTTTAAAAAATCAGTGGGGAAATCCAACACAGTTTTTATATTAATGGCCTGGGTGAGTAGATCTAGATGGAAGGAGGCTTTCAGACACAAAACAGGCCCAGTCTAAATGTCCACCTTTGACAAAAAACATACTTTCCATTTCACTTCAATTCTCAAACATGAGGGCTCCAAATATTAGGAATGTAACAGCACTTTGTGAAGCATGGTGGCCATGCACCTCTTGCTTCTTGGACTTCTTATGTTGCCTGTGTGTAACATTTAAATGCTTTAAACTGTGGGTGAATCCCTCAAACACCAGTATCACCATAGCACAGCCTTCAGCAAATGTGTGTCAGAGTATGCAAAGGTGGATGTTTGCACTGGGCCACACATGATTTAAGATCCTCACACATCAACTGGACAAACTCAAATTCAAGTGATTATGTCCCGGGCATTTAGATAGCAACAGTCTTAGCTTGGAAATACGTGAGGACAAATTAATTTCGGTGATCATACTCCACTTGCTTTTATTTTCCAGTTCCCTTTTAACATTCACTTGTTTCTGTATTCAATATGTCCAAATAGGCAACATGTGAAACAATGTGCAGACATTACCATTGAAATTAACACCTTATTGATTACCGTTTAAAAAAAATTTAAAACATATTGGTGTAACATGGAACATGGTGCAAGAAAATCAGTGAAATGATAAATCGCACAAATGTTAATCACGTGAACTCCGAAAATTTAGATGATGTTTCAGAAATCTTTGGTTGTGAATTTTTAATTTTTTGCCTAATTGAAGAGGAAATCCATCTGGCTGAATACTCAAACTGGAGTAAGAGCTACATCAAAAAGGCCACAAGCTTATGTGTTTAAAAGAGAAAAAATATGCGAGCTACGTTAAATATGGTGATAAGGGATATAATGCAACAGATGTGAACAGACTTCGTGTTGATAATTCTACACCGATGAGAGGCAAGTGGTTACAATCTAATATGCAATAGTGCTTAAAAAGTGTTGGACATCGACCAAAATGCTAATTTATAAAACAACTAAAAATTGTGCATCCAAAATATTGGCAGAGGCATGCGATAAAACTGACCTAATAACAATTTATAAGTTAAAGGGGAAGGAAAATGTTTAACTTACAGTAACAATATTTTCTTAAGTACAGCTGTGACAAAACTGACCAGCCAAAGGAAGTCGTAACAATAGAGCAGTCCATCTTCTCACAAGAGAGTGTGGGTTAAGTATATTATTTCAATATAATAGGCATCGAGAAAGGCGGGAAGTTTTTCAAAGGTTATAAACATACCAGGATTCTATGGAAAAGGGCGTACAAACTCTTCTGATGCGACGTGAGGTTAAAACTGAATAAAGGCAATGCTTCTAGAACAAAATTCTCCCCCTAGCGCACTAGAGGTGTCTGTTTGAGAGAGATGAGGACAGAGCGCATTCGAGAAACATCCTTTGCCTGTTTGTTGGTTTTCGGATTGAAGTCGCAGAGGCGGGCTACTCTCTCCCATTCGGATCCTGGGCTGTCGCCATCGCTCTCTGCCAGGAAAGCCTCCTCTGATGCTCTGCAGGTGGGAGGGAAAGATATGAATGAGTCGCAGTGATAGAGGGATTTCGGAGCAGTTTCCATAACGGCAAACCCGTCTGAGCCAAACATGGTGCTCAACCACACAGTTCAATCACATGAACAGCACCATGCACATCATACACAATAACTTCATGCGTTTCTTTATATCAATATCAATCAAACACTTTGCTGGAGACATGTTTAATATTTATAACAACCTATGGCTAATGTAACAAATAAATGCAAGAAATACCAAATTAGGCCTTCAAAAAAAACAGACTTTTAGTTGTAGTGTTTGGGGCATGCATCGGGTCTAAATCAACTAGTGGTAATTCCTGGGGTGGGGCATACAACATTAAAAAGCATAAGAGTTCTAAACCTACACAAAGCCTATAACATCAGAGTTAGGCTGTTTGTAGAAAGCCTTGTCAGCAATCCTAGACCGCAGGCAAGGCCAGGAAAGCAGGAAAAAGAGAGAGGAGAACAGTTTCAGTGTCAAACAACAAGCAGCGAAAAGTTAGTCTGCATTAACAAGATTATGTAAGCGACTGAGAAACAGTTCTAATGAGGGTGGAAATAAAAAGGTTCAGGACGGACTGAATACAGTCTTTCCGTCTGCTGTACTACACTGTTGCCAATCAACAAGCTTTCACAACGGCAACTGCAGACGGCTTTGCTGCTCCGCTGTTTTGCGGATGAAAACTGTGACATTTGATCTCTGCTGTTTGCATTCCTTCTAAGCCAGCCAGCTTCCTGTTTTGTTTTCCAGGCACACTGGACACACAGCTTTAGACTAGTATCTCATCAGAGGATTGCCTCTCAGCGCTTTCACAGACACAGGGAGAAGAAACTGGCCAAAGCTAGAGCCACAGATGCCGAGTGATACCGTGCCAGACTTGGACAGAGTCTGTTGGAAAGTGTGAGAGAAGAACGGGGTTAGCTCGGTCAAGAAAAGGAAAGGCTGTATTGTTTTTGTAAGTATAAGGAACCACCCTGACTGCGACCAGACTAAACTAACAATCTTTAAAGCTACAGCTGGTCACTTCTATGAAAATATATTTTTTTGGTCATATTTGCTGAAACTGTCAATATATTCTGAAAGACGTACATGAGACAATCTGTGAAGAAAATCACATTCCTCCTCCTCTTCTTTCTGCTTCTAATGGCATTTGCTAGAATCGGTCGCGGCTCACCGGAAACAACCAATCAGAGCCGAAGAGTCTCTAACGCGGCTGTCTGTCGTGTGAATCAGTGCTCGTGAACTGTGGTCAAACTAGGCAGAACTGATCAAATATGAATCAAGATTCTGTTGCTGCAGTGCCTATTTCTCACCTCAAATGTTTTCAGAAACACATTTTAGTGTACTGTTTAGCTGTAACATGAGAAAGGTGGTCTGGCTGGTGTTTTGTCTCACCTAGATTGTTGCTAACATGGTGGCTGGGTCGCAAATGTTCTCATTTTACAGCTCAACAGGACACTAGATTATATTCTGAAAACATTTGAGGTGAGAAATAGGTAATGCAGTGACAGAAGCATGATTCATATTTGATCAGTGCTACCTAGTTTGACCCTATGACAGCAGCTCATGAGCAGTGTTTGACATGATTGACAGCTGCATTAAAGACTCCTCAACTCAGACTGATTGTTCTCATTTATGTGAGGGAGTGCCATCAGAAGTGTAGGCAGAGGAATATAATATTTTTCACAGATTATCTGTCTCATTTAGTGCTGTTGAATGTAGTGACAGTTTCAGTAAGTATGGCAACAGTTTATTTTTTATAAAAGTTACCAGTGACAGCTTTAAGCAGAAGAAAGACTGACTTTTTATATACGCAATAAACACATTTGATGAGCAACACTTTTAAACGTGAAAATGCTACACCAATTGTACCAACATTTAATCCCTTGGTGCATAGTCAGACACAAGTGCTTCAATTTTCCACATCACTTATTTTAAAAAATCAATTACAAAATATCTACAACTCCAGCTAATATAATAAAGTCTTATTACTATTGTTCCTGTTGCCACACGCTGGATCTGACTTGACATGTGCAGTAAATTTAAATAGGCTCTTCCAAGAAAAACTACAATCTGCCAATACAACACTTGAGCTGTTAATCTGAATAAAATGTGTCCAGTGTAGCGATTACAGCATCATCGCATCATAATGACAAACCAACTGTTACTTCCCTGCACATTAACAGGGGACATGTCAGACACTAACCTGTTGTTGGCCTTGTTCTTCTCCATCTGCTCATTCTGGTGTACGTGCCAGTCCTCCAGCTCCTTTTTGGCTTTCTCTCTCCACTCTGCCTCTGCTGCCTTGGATGCTGAGTCTTTGTTAGGGAGCAACATCACAGAAATATTATCAGAGAGGCCTCTAAATTGGGTACCAGCGTGACATGATTAGATAGATTAGATGATGCGTAATTTGTCTTAAAGGTAAACTGCAAAATGCCAAATCAAAGTCATTCATTACAGCTGAAAACTAGGAAATGTATGATGAAGTATGATGTCTTTGCTCACCTAATGCTTCAAGGCGTGTCTTCTGCTCCTCCCTCCATTTGCGTAAACTCTCTGGCTCTTGTCTCTGAATATCCACCTGAGCGATGGCTGCATAGTTGTCTGTTGGGCCATTGGACTCCTGTTGGAGGACATAAAATAGTAACCATATTATTAACAACTACCTATTTGATCCAGATACTTGGTAGATGGCAAGTTATAAACATGACATGCAAGACTACCAGTACAAAAAATATGTTTGTTAAATGATTTGAACCAAACCAAACACACAAACATACTTTGCATAATATAAATATAATTTAAGAATAAGGCTGAAGACATCTGTTAAGCTCACCTGAAACAGGTCCCCATTCACTGTGGCAGGCTCCTCTTCGAAACCGTCTAACATTGTGACAAGAAAACAAAGTTTAATATTAAATCAAACCTCTTTGATTTCTCCACTTAGCTGCCTTTCCTCGTCACCTGGATTAACTTATGTTCACTGAGACTGTGGCAGAGTCACTTCATTCTTAAGATAAACGTTACAGTAAGACCTGAGAAATGCAGCAGCACCTGTTTGGGCTCTTGTGTTGTCCACGCAGCTTTGTCAGTTAACCGGACAGGTTTTTCCGGAAAAGTATCAACAGTTAGCCCCATAACGTTACTATATATAGCTAGAAGTACTCACTTGATCGAAATCAGTGTTTGCTAAAACGTTTTGTTGCACAGTTTGACATTTCTAACCTTTCAACCTCAGGAGGAAGTGCTGTGAATTACTAACGTACGTTGGTGGTGTGCAAACAAACGCACCACGGTCAGCTAACGTTAGCTAAGCTAATAAGCTAACTTTTCCTTTTAGTTTAACTGTAGACTAGCTGACTGTATAAGCTAACTGATGCTAATGTTGACGTGTAACGATGGGGTCATTGTTCCCTAACTACTACCAGTCCAGTCCAAGTACCGGTAGGCACATTAGCTAGCTTTAGTTAGCTTGTTTGCTTGCTAGCCGACGCTGACATTAGCTTAGTCCCAAACTTGCCATAGTTGTCCGGTGCCGGTTGAGACAGCTGTTCGTTCTCCGCACCTTCCAGCGCCCCGAAGCCTTCGCCGTCACCGTCGTTCTCTATCCCCGCTATCTCACTCTCCTGTTGGGCCAGGAAAGCAGCGGCTGGGTCCTCTTCGGTCGGGTGTGCGCCGTTGTCAGCCATCTTTCACAAAAGTGTTTACAAGTTTAACTGAGCTTGGGTTGGTTGAGCTAGCTTAACGTCAAAGACACAAAATTAGGCCACCGGTTCTGCAACGTTAATACAAACAACTTTTAAAAAAATCCTCGAATATAATCTAGTCCAGGTAGACTAGAGTAACCACAAGGCAAACGATTAAACCGTATGAAATGAACAATCTGAGCTTCGACTTAAGGCCGTTACTGATGATTCATGATTTCTTGACTTGCTCCAGCTACTGTGATGATGGAGCAGGGCAGCACCCTGAGGGTACCATTGCCTTTTGTTGCAGTTTGTCTCCATCTGCTGGCCGGCTGCTGCATCGCTTTACCAGGTCCTTAGGTTCATTTCATCAAAAGCTATACACTAGGCCTACTGTAGTATATGGCTGCAGTATCATTTCAAAGTGATGTTTCAAATGTTACTGTTACTTGCACCTGTAGTAACGAGAACAGGTTAAGCCAGTGATACTCAACTTGCATTGCCTGGGGGCCACTTTTGCAGAATGACAGGAGGTCAGGGGCCAGTCAGCAGCCCTGCACATGTACGTGTTAATAAACAAGCTCTATTTTAATGCTTTTTTATGCACTTTGGCATAAGTATATTAAAAGTATGAAAAAGTCCCCCCGTGTGAATCAAGTCATTTCCACTGTGAATTAGAAAATAGTTGGTGATAGAGCTGTATGATATGCAAAAACAATCATATTGCGATTATTCTGAGAGATATTGGGATTTTGATATGAGTTGTATCTTTAGTGGGAATGGTCATTTTTGCATTTGGTTTTCAAAAATGATGATGATGTGATCTTTGCTGGGGTCAGTACCAAGGCCGGGGTGTCTCTGTAGCATTACAATGCTTCATTCGTAATGGTATGTTGTGACATATTTTATCTTCATCAAAAATTGCAGCTCCTACGATTTGAATATTGCACCTGACCATATTGCGATGTCAATAATATTTTGAGTAATTGTGCACCCCTAGTTGGAGGGTGCACCCAGCACTCTATTGGGAGCCAGATTCCATAAACTGAGCTAAGTGTGATGTAGCACATATCATAGGCCTATGCAAAAAACTCAGCAGACAATTTGAACAACAGTTAAAATATTAAATAACAGTTGTAGCCTGTGTGTTAAAATAACACATATGTCCTCCCTGATTCATATTCATTAATATGTAAAAGTGGATGGGACATGTTACTGTGTGCCATCTGAGAAATACTTTTGTTAATAAAAATTAAGTATAGTTCTGATGTGATAGAGAAATAGAGGACAAACTATTTAGAATTTAGTAACAGTATTGAAGAAGTATAGGCTATAGACCCATCACCTAAGTTAGTGGTTTCCAACTGGTGGCTCGTGGACCCTTTCTGACCATAAGGGACTCGCAAACATGTCAAGTTTGTAAAATAAACACGCTATTTTTAAGTACAGTAAATTTCCAGCACAGAACTTTTATTTTGTAGCGCCGTTTTCTCCTGTTGAGTGAGTGACTAACCAACAGCTACTTGATAGAGATAGCAAACTAGCTCAACGACATGGTCAAATGCAAGTATGACACTGAATGTATCAAACTGTGTGGACCTTGAACTAATGACTAGGGAGAAATCCGGACCCGTGGTTGGATCAGTTCTCTTGTTTGTGTACAGACCCTTAATGGTCTGGCCCCATCCTACATCGCAGACCTTCTAACCCCCTATTCTACACCCAGGTCCCTTAGGTCAGTTGACCTGGGGCTCCTGGCTGTCCCACACTCCACACTTAAGCTCAGGGGTGATTGTGCCTTGATGTTACTGCCTCCAGACTGTGGAACAGCACCCCCTCCCAATCAAATCTGCCACCACCATTGACTCATATAAGTCCAGGTTCAAAATCTACTTCATTAGCATTTGAGTCCTCCTGATGTGGTTTTTCCTGACGCGTGCCTGTGTGTGTTGGCTCTCCAAATGTGTGAGTGGTGTACCTGACAGTTATGTTGCCTCTCATGTATGCATTTTTAGCACTTTTAGCACTTTATTCCTTTTGTACAGCACTTTGGTCAGCATGAGTTGTTTTTAAATGTGCTTTATAAATACATTTGAGTTGAGAAAAGTCTGGCAATTAAAATCAAAGCAGTTATGCAGAATGACTCCTTGGAAAGAAAGACACTAGCCAAGTGGATTTATCTTTACAAGGAGGCAACCTTAAAGCTTTTCATACCAAAGAACAATGATTTTTTTTAAATTGTTATTATTTAATAAATATAAGCAAAACCATGTTATAATTTAAACCCTTTATAATGTAGGCCTATGCCTTCACAGGAAGTGCTACAAAACATCTGTGCAATGTTGCTGGTGGAGGTGGGGTGGAGCTATTTTGTAGTGTAGTACTATGCATTACATGTTTTTAAGCACATTATATGTTCTGCGTGTAAAATATTGCTCTTAAAAGTAACAGTAACAGCAATCATATGAATGTAGAACAATAAAACAAGCAAACAAAACATACATCCAGATTTTTAATCCCTTATTTGCCTAATCAGTGGTTGATTGCACACACCTGTGGCCACTCAGTAATTATTATAAACACATTTAACAACCGCTCTTGAGATATCACTCAACACCAGTGCTGGAGTTTCTATTAAAAAGCTTATTGTTGCTGAAAAATAAAACATCTATATTAGGTATTTGTTGGGTTGTTTTGTGCAGTGATTTATTGTTGTCTTTTTCCAATACAAAGAACACTGAACTGGTTTTCAAAGTGGCATTAAAGCCATCATGATTGATAATGTCTGCAGACAGAGCACGGCCTCTTCTGGTTTACAGCCCGAGCATGAAATGAAGCAGCGGCCCATGTGACTTCTGACGTTTCAGCCGAGTCCTACTAAAAAGAATTTGAGGGAATGATCCTGCAGCTCACCAAGGGGATCCACGGTGGCTTCCTGACGTCCGCTTTAAGGAAGTCCGAAACTTTAGCCTTCTTACCGATTGACTTCTTCTTATCCGGTAGACCGACTCGTGATGTCTGGCGAACACAGCGAGGGCCAGGAGGTAAGCTGATTCATTATATCCACACATTTGAATGCATTCCTTCGTGTATGTGTGTGTATGTGTGTGTGTGGAGTAACTTTGTGACGCCAACTTCTTCACAGTACAACTTATTGTATGGGCTGTGTGTGCCCCCACACAGTTTGGCTTAGCTGCTGCGAAACACTGTCGGTCTGTAGCGGTTGCAAAGTACTTTGCTTTACTTGAGGTTTTCGTGTCTCTTCCTGCTCCTTCCATTGTGAATGTTCATTGCAAGGTCTGCACTGTAGTGGCACAACCAGCCTGCAGTCTTTCATTACCTGTTGCAAATGATTGTCACTGAACTCAATTAAAGTAAGATATATAAAGTCATAAGTATGTACTATGTAAGAAAAAAAGCCTTTAATTCAGTGTATTACTGTACAGCAAGATCCTATAGATATATTATAGTGACACCATAGATTATAAATAGCAACACCATAAACAGGGGCACCCACTTGAATGAGTACCACAGGCATTACAAGCATATTCATTGGCTTTGGTAAATGATTTCTCTCCACTTTAATATAATGAGTAGTATTTAATTAACTGAAATGCCTCCAGATTCACGCTCTTGCTTTTACTGTTTTATTATAATCCTTTTAAAAGCAACTAAATCAATTTGCATTGTGCTGTTAACACAAGAACAATCTAACCTCCATTACCTGTTGCTGCTGTGGGTCTTTGCAGTTATTGTCACAAGCTGTCTGTCTCATAATTGCTATTATAATAGCTTTTCTTAGACTTATTTGTAGGAGGTATAAATACGAGAAAAGTGACAGTTAACTTATCCAAGTTTTGGTAATTAAGGCTGTTTGTCATTTAGGAAGTGCATTTAGTTAGACAGTCTTGTGCAAATTGAAACTTTTTAAAGAATTTCACTTTTCTAATTAGGAGGTTTTGTGGGTTGAGGTATTTCGGTTGCTTTATAGTAAGATAAGGACTGTACTGCCATTGTTTTTTCTCTTATCAATTAGCCCTGTTTCAGTTTTTACTATATATA